TTATTAGATATGTAATGCATATAATAAAATTATATGATTATAATTGATTATATTGCAGAAAAAACTGCAGTAAAAAAAACTTACTTTACATCCATAAGAATGAATGCAACCATTTGGATATCGTCAGTTTTTATTTGTTTCTCTTGCACACTTTGAATGTCAACAACCAATCCTATAACATCTACAATAAGAAAACCAATATGGTACAATTTAATTATTTTGAAATAAACAAATAAAATTAGAAACAAAATTAAATAATTATACCGAATAACATCGATTCATCGATTTTGTTGACATATGTAGAGTTGCAAAGTCTTTGAATTGAAATCAAAATACAGGAAATTCTCCCTTGCACTTTGTAAACATATTGCTCCCGTGCAACATGATCTTAAAATCATCGGATGTCGAATGATACTTCCGTATATTGTTGTTCACTTGCTAATTTTTTATACAAATGACCATGCCCTACTCAAAATTCCTCTCTCTATACGCAGCCAAGTTGATTGCCCGTAGGCATGCCGTAAAGTGATTACCCTAAACATATACAAAAAAGCAATCAATGAAAAAATAATTTGTTTTAAAACATAAAAAAATGTATATTATATATACACGAAAAATATATGTTTGATATTTCGGAAAAAAAAAGTAAAAATAATTTGGCTTACAGTTTTATCATGTAGAACCAACTCAAGATAGGATTTGTATGTGTTGTCCAGTCTTGAAAAAACATTCTTACCATTCAAACTTTAAGCATACGTCTATTAAACCTATTAACTTGTTTGATTAAGCCAAACTCTTGATTCATTGTTGTGAATGACACACCAATGGGGATTTTTTTTCCGCAGGTGGTTAAAAGTGAGGAACACGCTAATTCAATATTTGAAGATTTATAATTTATAATTGCATTATCGCATTATATGTAGAGATAATGTGAATGAAATCAGATCAGATCATTATATATAGGAAAAAATATGATCAGATTTATATCGCATTATAATTATAATTGCATTAAAAAAAAATTTCCATACGACAAAAAACTTCAATTAGGCGTGAAATCTGATTTAATTTTGGAAGAATTTTTTTTGTTGACCGATCAAAATTTTTTTTTATTGGTTTGGTAATAAGTAGTAAGCAATAGAATGCATTAAATAAAATAAGTAAGAAGTAATTAAATAAAACTTGATGCAAATAGCATTCATTAATTGTCTTTTGACTTTTCTACTTACTAATTTTGGTAAATGAAATGGCTTATTATATAAGTATAGATTCTCTCTTTTGAACTTATGTGTATTACTTTTCATATCATTAATTAAGTTTAATAGAAAGTAAATTTTGAGTAAAAATTAGCCACTCTATTCTTTGCTAGCAATTAACAGTAAAGTGGTTTTTAGCTGTCAGCATAATTTCATGATTAGAGTTGATAAGTCTATAGTTTAATTTGGAGATAACTCAAAAAAGCAAATAACTATTGAGAGACGCTAGCCTTGGTGCCATTAAGGGGACTATTGTTTATAGTTTGTCAAAAAAAAAAAAAAAACCCTCAATCAAAACTCAAATTTAACTCAACTTCACTATTTCTCATATTATCAATATAATTAAATAATATCAATCAATCATTACCACGTCAACTTTAATTTACTATTCATCAACTCACATAAAATCAACTTTAGTTGTTTTATTTTATCTTATTTCAATATATACACTAACTATTTTACATACCACATTTTTTTTCAAAATTAACTATAATTGAAAAAAAATAAATAAATAAAACTAGTTAAATCCATAAACAATCACTCTAAGCCATTTACGTCTTGTAATTATAAGCATTTAAGATGTGGTCAAAAATTTGATTATGGTGGAACTCTAATTAATACATCTAATTTGATTGCTTACATTGTGAAAAAATGAATCAAAGGATAACGAATTTTTTAGAAAATTAAAAACAATACACAGCATTAAAAAAATACACAGCATAAAACAAAGGATAATGAATGTTTTTCTGTGTTTTGTTGTGTTAGTTTGTCTAGTGAGTCTTATTTTAGTTTCTAGCGTTGCTAGCGTCGGGATTCTAGACGGTCTTCTGACTGTCTTCCCATTTTATTCAGCTTTTAGTTGTTTTTTATTCTCCCGTTGGGAGCTTTGTATTTCTATTTGCACTTTTGTGCCTTGATTTTTTAATAGATCTTCTATTGTTTCGGCCAAAAAAAAAAAAAAAATAATTAGAAATAATTTAGTAAAATTTATTTCTCATGTAATAGGTTAACTTTCACATTTTTTTTTTTCAAAAAAAAAAGCCAAGTGTGCCCATCAAATTCAAATCAAATTTGAATTTTTCCACCATATATCGATAACAGTATAGTCAATAAATAATGGTCACTTTGTATTTTGTCCATGTTTGTGTGTCTATATTTGTTCCAAACCTTTTCTTCGGAAAGATCTAGCTTTATTGATACTGAAACCTCAAAGAGAAGCAAAGAACTCTATTAGTATACGTCGCCAATTGCCGAGCCGGCGGACCTCAATTTCATGGCCCGTGACCGGCTCGTTTTATATGGGCCGATTTATAGAACCGCCCTTAAATTGCCGATTCACCGACCCGACGGGTTTCGAGCGATTCTGAGCCAGTACGGCCCATGAAAAAAACATTGCGGCACGTCTTTCAACCCGTAGCCCGGACCGGTGCGACCCAAAAAAAATTACAAACCGAGACCAAACCGGCCCTTTGGAGGCCGGTCTGGGATCGGTTTCGGGGCCATGTCTATCTATTAGCTATGTGATGTGAATAATTTTGGTAGAAAGATTTTCACGGAAATAATATATCTCGTATGCCGGTAATGATTGTATTTTTTCTATCCTAAAATTTTCTTCATCATATTTGTCTTTCATCCCCGATTGAGTCAATGAGTCAAGTCAATTTTGAGCTTGATATTCAATTTTGAGTTTCATTCCTTGACGACCGCAAGCGATAAACGAATTAGAATCCACCTCGTTTATCTATATTAACATGCTAACGAGTCAATTAAAATCTTGATTGATTGAGTTATATAGAAAATTACATTAAGACTCTTGTATTTCAAGCTTAACAAACCTAGCTTTAACAAAAGAGCTCGAGTTTAGCTTGCTTTTTGAGCTTAAGGCCATCTCCAGCCCTTATCTCTACTCTAGCGCACACTTTACTATACTCTAGAGTAGAGTAGAACATTCATCTTCAACTCTTATCTCTACATTTTATTCTACATTAAATATATTATTTTTTTTATTTATTTTTTATTTCAAATAAATTGGTATATATGTATATTTAATCTTATATAAAATGTTAATTACTCAAATAATAAAAATATATTTTATTTAACATAATTTGCTATATATGAATATGTAATATTATATAAATGTTTATTACCTAAATAGTAATTAAAAAAATTATGTATAATAACACGAGATGTTTCATAAGTTCAAACAAAAGGATACAAATTACATAATACAATGAGTGTGTTAAATTTTTATTCATATGGTATCATTTTAATATTAAAAAATTACAAAATAAAATTATAATACATCAATAAATAAAAAGAATAAAATTTTTAACATAAAAAATACATTACACAAATTATTTAATATAAAAAATACATTTTCTAATACACATTATACAAAAATTTATCAATAATAATACACAAAAAAAAACAAAAAAAAAATAAAATAAAATAAATAATTGTAGAGTCGATGAACAGTGTTGCGCTAGATGTGGCGCAACAATGTTCCCGACTCTCTTCTAGCGATAAGTTCCAGCGCAAAACGCCATATCTCGCGCAGCGCTGGAGTGGCTCTAAGAGAGTCAATATCACGAGTGCTAGTGCTATTATATTAAACGAGTTTGACTTGACTCAAATCGAGCTTGGTTCGTTAAGCCTCGAGTTCAAGGCCTTAACGAATCAAGCTCGAGCTCATTGAAAGCTCGCTTAGTTAACGAGTCGAGCTCGACTCGATAAGACTCGTTAAGGCACAAAAATAAAATTTTATATGATTTTTTATATTTCGACTCGTTAAAACTTGAGATCGACACGTTAAAACTCAAACTCGAGTCCTTAACAAGCCGAACTCGAGCTCGATTATTTGATGAGTCGAGCCCCTAGTTGAGAACTTAAGCTCAAGCACCTAAAGCTCGAGCTCGACTCATTTACAGCCCAACAAATAGCTGTCGGTGTTGTATAGCACCCCTATCACGAGTCATCAAATAAAATAAAATGCCATGCTTAAAACCAAAAGAGAAAAAAAAATAAAAAAAAAATGTACCGCAAACCAATTTTGCTATAGAGCCATCGGATAACACGACTTAGGGCATCTCCAATGGTAATAGCTATTACTAGCTATATGGTTAGCTGACGTGGATGTGAGAGATAAGAAAAATAACTATTTTACACTATTGGACCCACGTACTCCTCTCACATGATCTTGGGCTACGTGAAATAGATAAGCTATTTGTTAGTAGCTAGTGACTACTCTCTCTCTTACTTTTCCCCTGTCCACGTCATAATAGTTAGCCAAATAGCTAACCATTGGAGACGCCCTTATAGAGTCATCCATACTTATTCACAAATAGTGTATTGACACGTGTCCGACAATAAATACACTTGACATATGTCAATACATTAAGTAATTGATAACTCCATAAAAAAACTATCTGATTGCTCAGAATTTTTATACCACAAACACCAACAACAATATAAGCTGCAATTTAATAATAACTAATTATTGCTTTAAATTGTGTTTGTTAATCCATTTTAATGGCCTTAGATTAAAAAAAAAAAAATTAAAATAAAATAATAAATGAAAAACGCATAGAGCACAGTCTCTTGTATTTCTAATTTAATTTTTAACATCAGATGAAAAACGCATAGAGCACAGTCTCTAGAGTGATATATATTAAATTTTGATTGAACTCTAGAAAATCTATATACATGGATTAAAATTGAATTTCCACCGTGACAATAGTTCAAAATGTTTCAATACAAAGACACGGCGATCCGCGGCGGCTTTGGCGGCGGTTTCTGCACATAGGCGTCTGCCATCTTCCCCTGCCGCGGCGGTTCACACGGACAGGGCAGAGCTATGAATTTCGGAACATTATCCCCGGGCATTATAACAGGTAAACTCTGATCCGCTTGCTGTTTCAAATCCTAATAAATAAAAAAAAAAAATTGAGATTTTATTTTCTCCCTTACCCCCTTTCATCACCAAAATTAATTCACAAAAAAGGAAAAAAAAAAATTATATAAAAATTAAATTAAATATTTATAGATGAGGTGTGTACCATTAGGGGAGTTTTGGGCTTGGAGGGGCTGAGATCGTCGCCAGACTCCAGATCGGCGGCGGCGGCGTGGAGGGACAGCGAGCGGCGGAGCTTATCCCAGTGATAGCAGCAGGAGAATATCCCGCTGAGGCTGAAAATTACGACCAATAAGAGGGCGGTGCCGAGGGGGAATCCGAGCGACGGCCGGGAGTCTCCGCCGTGGGGAGGCGGCGGCGGAGCACTCTGATACGAAGACTCCATCTATTATACGCAGGATTGATCTGTCACCAGATATTTGCAGTCCCCTCATATGAGGCGCAAACGATAAGGGGATGAAAATGGAAAGATAATAGATCCAAGGAAGGAATATATATATATATATATATATATATGTCTATGGAAAGGGGGAGAGTGTTAATGATAAGGGGATGAAAATGGTGAGGGTTGGGTTTGGATTCGAGTTTGGTGGGATAAAATTGTGAAAGGTTTGAGGCGTGGGGAGGAAGATTTATAGTAACATATTTGGGTGGGAGTGGGGTAGGGTTTAGGGGTGTAGTAGTACACTTGTGTGGGGCTGTAGTACGGAGGGAAAGGAAAAAAGAAATAAAATTGGTGTAGCAAATGACCAAATATGAATATAAAATTTTAAAAAAAAAAAAAAAAAACATACCTACAAATGTATTTTTATTTTTAATTTATTGATATATAAAAATATTTGCATTTACTAGAAGTATTGTTGTTTTTCATCTATTATTTTGTTTCTAAATAGGATAATTTTTTAAGATATTTATGTTTTCTTTTCTTTTTTTATCTATTTTCTATTGATATTTTTTTTTTTTACCATCTATAGTAAACTTGTTTTTAGATAATGTAATATGATCAAAATCTATTGATTATAAAATTTTCAATCAGTTATTTTATTTATACTTATATTTGTTTGAGGAAATTACAAATTTAATCCCGTTAAATTGGGGCAGTCCCAAAAAAAGTCTAAAGGTGCTCATTTTTAGTCCTTAACTAATTTCCGTTCCAAACTTAGTCCCAAAACTAACAGACTTGATGGAAATGTCAAGCGGGGCTCACGTGGGCGTCTGGTCGTTGTTTTTGGGCAGATTTAAATCTGTCGATTTGTTTTCCCAACATATTAAACGATACATATCTCTCCACCCCCAATTCTCAAAATTAGGTTCAGAATTCAATCCATAAAATCATAATTTTCTCTCTAAAATCTACTCCAAATTAAAATTTGTTGTGACTACCCTACGGTATTGAGTTAAAAATCCGATGATGCGCTCAAGTGATGCTGTCGAAAATCCAAATCCAACCTACGTATTTATCCCTAACCCTAGCGCGCTTAATTTTATATTTTTCTCATTGTATGTTGTGTTGTAATGTGTTATTTGATCGAATTACGTTTGTACTGTACCTTTGTGTGGTCCAAGTGCGTTCCTTTTTGCTCCAGGGTTGTCCCTGGTCCTTGTCCCTTTCCGAAGACAACTTCTATGTAAGCGTAAGAAAACTGATTTTGATTTTTTTTATGGTAATTAGGGTGATGTGTTAGAAAAATTAGGACTTTTGTCGGGTATGTGGTAATTGGGGTACTTCTTAATCTTTTGATAGAAAATAGGGCTTTGTCGGGTACTTTGGGTAATCAAGGTTTTTTTCTAAATTTGTTGTGATGAAAATTAGGGCTTTGTCAGTTATGTGGTCCTTCATGCTGGGTAATTTAGGGTTTTTCTGAATTTTTTAAAATTAGGAATTTTGTCAGGTATGTGGTCCTCCATGCTGGGTAATTAGGAATTTTTCTGAATTTTTTTCTTTTAAAATTAGTGCTCATTGTAGTTAGGATTGTTTGTACAAAAAACTTAATTTTATTTTTTGTATATCTGACCAAATGTTCCATGTTATGCAAATGCAGGTGGAACTAACCCATTTTACCTTACTTTCAAAATACATCATGATGGGTTTTTGGTTGATAATATAATTAAAGGTCAGTAGAGGTATGTTGGGGGTGAGATAAGTGCATCTGATTATATGGACAAGTACAAAGTAAACATGAGGTATGTCTATAAGTTCTGTGAAGAGTTAGGCTACTGTGGGGAGAAAAAATTTATAGACTTGAATTGCACCATCAATACAGAGAGGTGCTTATGGAGGCTGATCTTTCGTTGGTTGTTGATATGTATCATAAAAGAGAAGTGAAGTTCTATCTAGTGGCTGAGAAGGAAGAAAGGGAATTGGAGAAGGATGGCAATGGGGATGATGGTGTTAATGAGGCAGGTGAGGTTGAGGGTGAAATAGAGAAGGGGTGGACAATCTTGAAAGATATATTGATATGTATGTGGATGAGGAGGGCCTTGTGGAGAATCATGTTAAAGCCACAAAAAAGGGCGGCAGAGTTAGACTTGTCTACTGACAGTAGTATGTCTTTGTCTGAAGCTAGTAGTAGTGATGATGATTTTTGTAGTTTGAAGGGTTCAGATGAAGATGGAGATGAAGAGGAGAATTAGAGTCTTTTGTTTAAGGCTAAGGAGGTTTTCAATCCTCATTTTGCAATTGGAATGAAATTTCCATCCAAGAGTTTGTTCAAGGAAGCAATTTCTTCTCATGGCATCCAAACTCATAGAAGCCTTAGAATCACCAAAAATGATAAGAGGAGAATCTATGGTAGGTGTGAAGAAGAACCAAATGGTTGTCAGTGGGCCATAAATGCACTTAAAGTGTGTAATGAAGAAGCCTGCCAAATTAGAGCCTACAATCACAGGCACTCATGTGCAAGAACATGGAAAGTAAAAAATGCCACAGCTAGATGGATTGCAGAGAGGTATGAAGAAGACTTCAGATCTGATCCAAAGAGATCACTTAAAGGATTCAGAAGAGATGCAGTGAAAAGGCTGAAATGTCATGTGTCCAAGGGCAAAGCTTTCAGAGCAAAACACTTAGCTTTATCATTTGAGGGATCATATTCTAACCAATATGCAAAGGTGTGGGATTATGCATATGCTCTGAAGCAGAAAAATCTAGGCAACACAATTTTATTGTCACTAACAGATGCTCCAGGACCTGATGGACAGAAAAAATTTGACAAGCTCTACATTCGTTTGGCCCCATTAAAACATGGTTTTCTTGTTGGTTGTAGAAAATTAGTGGGAGTTGATGGCTGCCACTTAAAGGCTAAGCATGGAGGCATTCTTCTCATAGCTGTAGGGGTGGACCCATCAAATAATGCATACCCTATAGCATATGCAATTTTGGGTGGTGAAACCAAAGAGACATGGACTTGGTTTCTTAAAAATCTAAAGGAAGATTTGATGATTCAAAATGATGAAGAATGGACTTTCAAGTCTAACAAGCAAAAGAGCCTGATTCCAACTTTTGAAGATGTCCTTCCTGGTGCTCAGAACAGGTTTTGTGTGAGGCATTTACATTCCAATATGCAAACAGCCGGTTTTAGAGGTCTAGCCTTCAAAAAGGCTTTATGGAAAGCAGCCAAAGCCACCACTCTTTCAGAATTCAGAGAGTCAATGAACAGGATTGGTAAACTTGACAAGGATTGCAAGGTTTGGCTTGAGGATAAACCTGAAAACAATGGTCAAAATCCCACTTCACAACAACTCCTAAGTTAGACCTATTGTTGAACAACATCTGTGAGGTTTTCAACAGCTCCATCCTAGAGGCTAGAGAGAAGCCAATCTTGACTATGTTGGAATGTGTGAGACAGTAGCTGATGACTATGCTCCAAGAGAACAGAGATATAGCCGAGAGAAAGTTGGAAGGGAAAAAAGTCTGCCCCAAGATCAAGAAACTTGTAGACAGACAAGAAGAAAAAGTCTCTGAATGCATTCCAATCAAATCCAATGACTGGTTGTACCAATTAGACTGCAATGATGGTGCTTTCTATACTGTGAACCTGAAGGAAAGAACTTGTCGCTGTAGAAAGTGGGACTTAACAGGAATCCCACGCAAACATGCATGCAGTGACGTATTAGCACAAGGCCATCAACCTGAGGACTTTATGGATGACTGTTATTCTTGTGACACTTATTCTAAGGTGTATGAACCTGCTATCAATCATATAACTGGGCCAGGTCTATGGGATAGGACACGCTACATACCTCAACTTCCTCCAAATTTTGGGGAAAAAAAGGGAAGGTCAGCCAAATTAAAAAGAATGGGAGCATGTGAGAGTAGCAGTGGAAAAAAAAAAAGAATGAAATATGCACAAAAACTTCCAAGGGAAAAGTATAAAGTGTCCTGCAAGTTTTGCCATCAAATGGGACACAATCAAATAACTTGTGAGTGGAAAAAGTTAGCTAAAAGTGGGATTGCATATGGTGCCTTTGAGGTGGAGACACAACATGAAGAGATGACTCAAGGTGATGATTTTCCATCACAAACTCAGGATGATGATAGCCAGCATCAAAGAAAACTAATTGTAAGTTCTTTATGATTTTTCAAAATTTTTTTCTGTGTTTTACTTTATTGAATACATTTCTGATAGCAGATATTGATTTAAACAGGCAAGGAAAAGCACTAGAGGAGCTACTCTTTGAAGTCATCCAATCTAAGTCTCCTTTTGACTCAACCTTTTGAAATGATAGTGGGGTGTTTTGTGAACATGCTTATATTATGTGAACTCAGGAAGTTGTCTTGTTTTGGAAACTCTGAATTATATTATGTGATGGGTTTTTTATGACTGAATGTGGGTCTCTTGTTGAAATGTAGTGTTTTGTGACTGAAAGTGTGTTTTTATGATGACTGGTGCTTAATTGAAAGTGGATTGCAGTTCTGTGTATTTACATGGAGGTTTCATGTTGTTTCATGCTTGAAGTTTTGTATTTTCAATTGAAGTTCTGTATGTACATTGAGTTTTCATGCTTGAAGTTTGTGTTCTAATTTATGCAATTGAGGTTCATAATGATTGTTTATACAATTCAGGTTTTGTGTTCTATTTTAGTAGACATAAATGAAAACATGATTCTTTGCTGTGTTTGTTTCATGCCAAATTGAGTGTGGATTTTTTTAATGGCAAATTAGCAACAAAATGGTCTGATTTTCATTGAGATTAGCAACAATACATCATAACAACAATAGATAAGGTTCCCATTTGGATAGTTGGATACATATTATGCTTATTTCATGATAAACATCCACACTATTGAGATTACAAGTAAAAACTGTAAAATTCTATTCTTCTTCTTCAGTTGTGCATTTTCTTATTCCAGTTTCTTCATCTTTTTCAAGTACATCTCCTTCTCTTG